CCCCCCCCCCCGATAATTATTGCACAGTCCCTAATTAAGTTCGGCGCATGGACAGTTCGACGTTTGCCCTAGGCCTTAGTCTAATATCTATGTACATACGATCAGAAGCACGCGCAGAACTGACTAACCTCCAACGTCACACAGTCGCGGGAAACGACTTAAATCAAACGCAGTCGCGAAGATACTAGTAGCAGACTTGACGGATCCCCGCATACCCTCTTGAAAGTGTATCAACTTTTCTTTGCTAGAGTAGTTATTCTTGAACAAGTCATTAGATGTGGCGTTAAAGGTTCTTTGCCATTGGCTTTGTCCTTCACGAATTGCGCTAGTCAGGTTACCCGTCAGAGGCTTGTTCGTTTTCATCACGTGCATCACATATCCATACATATAAGTTGGGCTTGACTTCCTAAAACAATCTCCCATCGAAGAGTTAGAGTAGAGTGCCTCATCTGGATTATCACCATGCTTGACCAACAGTTCCAGGCTAACCAAGGCATCTAGTAGTCTACAGACGGCATCGTGGTCGCCAGAGATTTGTTCTGCTATTTTTTGGGAAGGTTGTGGTGTTTCAACAACGTCAAAGATGCCTAATTCACAGGCCGTGAATATGGCCTGGGAGGCACAGAATCCGTGAATGTAATCAAACACTTTTTGCGGTACTGGTGAACAAATTCCTGATGAAGCCATAGTCTAGGGGGGAAAAAATTGGATTTGAAAATCCTTTGATTACAGATTAATCAGCTATCTAACATTCATCAAAGATTCCCAATAGTCCAGTTTCGAGTTCCAAATTACCGCTGTGTTTCTTGATTACAGACTCATTTACTCAGGCTTAGCCTCAAATCAGTGTCTAATTACTCGCAAATACCAACGGTAAAGTAAAGAATGCACAACTTCAACAATACGAGCACTTTGAAACTTGACAGACCTTGACTGGAACACGTGAATATTCTTCACAAAATCGAGGCTAAGCCTGAGTAAATGAGTCTGTAATCAAGGAACACAGCGGTAATTTGGGACTCGAAAAGGATCTATTCACATGCCACGAATGYGGTCTGAGAGGCACAAAATCCGGCCGTGAATGTAATCAAACAGGTTTGATCAACTATCTGAAATAAGTAGTATGTTGCCCGTGAGATCCTGCACTGGCTGGAACGTCGGGAACGGAACGGAACGGTACGTAAAGGATATTCAAATCTCAAATACCACAAACATGAATATATTCGGCCTATCTTTCATTTTGTACCTGACTTTGAATAGTTTTTAGGTCTTAGGCACCCCACCACCATTAAATAATATGTAACAATAACTCCACAGGCTCCCTATCGAGGCAAAGATACGCTTCAAAGTTCTTGCCCGCTTATTTCAAGAACTTGCTTTCCCCCTCAAACGCACGAGGCTACTAAGATATTCAAACAAAAACCTTCTAACAATATCTAAGTCACGAACACGTAACTATGGTGACCGAACTTTTTCTATAGCTGATCCTAAACTTTGGAACAATTTGCCGTACTCTCTACGTCTTGAGGTTTCTATCTTAAAACGTTTTTAAAAGAATTCAAAGTAATTTTTGTTTAGGACTTCTTCTCGATAGAGATATTTTTTTGCATTTTACATAGTTTATCAAAATATCTGTTAATAGCTTTTATTTTCTTTTTGTAGTGTTTATATTGTAAAGAGCATCGAGACTTTTGTTTGTTATGCGCTTTTTAAGAATTAGGGGATGGTCATAAAGTTAAGGAGGGTGGACGGATAAAAATAGGGGGTGAATTACACAATTTTAAACATCTTAAAAGGGGTTGGCTGTCTTTAAAACTGTACATTAAACTATACATCATTTCTATTTCCTGCATGGAAACTTGGGGGGTCACCATTTTTTCGACCCTCGTTTTATACTCGGCCAGGTTCCTTCAAATCCAGTTTTACGCATTTCTTCCCAGTCAGGAATAACTATTGACATTCAAGTCGACTTCTATAGATAATCAGTATTCGAGCGAGCCATGATCACATAATAACTTGAAATGGCTGTCGAGTTAAGCGGAATTTCTTTGAACTCGTCCCTTCCACTAACTTTGATTGACGGAATCCAGACGAATATGGAGCCGCCTAGGTTGCGTAATTTTGAAAATGGGTTTAATCAATCTGGAAATCTAGATCATTAGAAAATTCGAAATTTTTGATATCCCAATGGACATCAATATATTATTACCCGCGAGCATTCGCATTGAGTGTTATGTTAAAGGTTTCCATGACAAAATTAAAGTACGTTGTAACGTAAAATCAGCCAGGCATCCTAAAACAAATTATCGCTTGACCGTACCAAACATCTAAGGCGTGAAATATTTTTGCTAAAATTTATTCAGTTTCATCTCTATCGCCCTTGCATTATCAACACAGTTGTTCTAATTATTTCAGTAATTTAGCGATTTAAGGTGGCTGGACCCCCTCACGCTTGACCGCTACCTTCCACTTTTGGAAGGATTTACTCCCGAAGCATGGTAATACACAGGTTTTTTTYATTCAAACGTGGGACGTTTGTCACAACTCTGTATTACCATGCTTCGGGAGTAAATCGGAAAGCGGCCAAGCGAGATCAGACCGCGCATGGTGCGAAAGAATTTGGTGTTATGGTCATTAGCAAACAATAGAATTCCCAGAGCATCAAATCGTTGGGAAACGAATGTTTTCTGTATTTCTCGTTCGCTTTAGATCGCTTTAAATGAGTTCAATAGTCTTGCAATTTTGTGTAATATTAGTTTAAGTTCTAATTTGYATCCTGACGTAGTTTTGAGAGAAATGATCAGCGAATTTTAGAATAATGGAAGATCTAGTAAGATTGACTAGAAAACTGCGATGAAAAGTGCGCATCAAATGTTTACCCCGTCTTCTGCACTATACGTTTTCACAAAATCGCATAAGTAGATTACCTTCAAAATGTTCCTTTTAAAACTAGATACAGAGTAAAACTAAATGAGCAATGACTTTTGTGAATATGTAGCTCTGAAATATTAATTTCGGCCGTATCAAATCCATTGTTTAGTTTTGAAGTAGATTACGCACTATATTTAAATAATCTCAAATATCTCATAATTAGCTAGATAGATTTTTTCAAAAATCCCTACAAATGGAGGCATTTAGTATATAATTATGTGGTACGAAGCATTTTAGTGTTGAACGCTCTGCAAGGCTAAAATTATTTTCTAAACGAAAACAATTTTTTCATCATAATCACGTGTTATGACGTCCGATCTCACTAAAAATTACATCAAACATTAATTCAATCTTTATGTGACTTATGTGCAAAAAAGATTTGCAATCGGATAAAACACGTTTATGCACCAGCTTTCCAAAAGTGGAAGGTAGCGGTCAAGCGTGAGGGGGTCCAGCCACCTTAACTCAACAACAAAAAGACGTTTATAACATTATCAATAGAACAAGTATTTWAAAAAACAAAGAAAATGAGTGTTTTCAATATATAAATTGCAGGCTCAATCAAAATTGCTGGTTTTCAATCATTCCTAAGAGAATGAAATAACCAAAGACACGGTGGCCATGTTGGATGATATAACGGAGACTAATGATAAATCTTTTGTTAAATTCATCCAACATGGCGGCTGTGAAAACCATCAATAATGAAAGCATTTTCGAATATTCATTGAATATTCAAATACTATAAGTTTTAGGAGATAAAATATAATTATTTGCCAATGCATTTGTTTTCTAGGTTTACTTTATCAAATTGAGCTGATCCTTGCAGTATATCAAGCAACTTATGCAGCTGCAAATTGAAAGATTCAGAAAAAAATTAGGTTTACTTTGTATATTATGTCTGCCTGTGACCACCTGAGATGTGTCTACGTGACATGCAATAAACTAATTGTACTCATCAATAAACAGTTCAGTTGCATTCTCTATTTCTCTTGGTTGCAAAATTGATAAAGGTTTTTTCAACAAATAAATAAATYACAAATACTAACCACCACAAGCGCAATGTTAAATATGTGCATATGATTTGCRGGATATTATTCTTTATTATATAGATATTGATGAAATACCAGGTTTTCTCTAGTGTCGAAAACTTGATATTTTTCACCAGTGGAAGATACTATATCTTTCACACGTGAAGATATCGCTGTTGGCATAGTAACGTATTTTAATAAAGAATTTTCGATATCTATATGATAAACAGAACATTACATGGCCGCTTGGATATAATTTCTAAACTTCTCGTGTTCAATTTCGCCTCGCTCACCCGTGAGATATCAAAATGGCAGCAGAAAGCAACGATATTTTTGCTCTAATTTATCATATTTGCTTCTTGCATTACTTCGACAATTACGGGAAATACAAATAAAAGAAGATTACAAATTCATTCAAGGTTTATGACCGACAGAGCTTACCTACAAGACTGCAAGACCAAAAGAACCACAGTGCGAGTGAGATTAGATAACTAGTTACTCCTACCCGTATACGTGTGACTACGCGTAGTCACACGGCTGTTTCAAATAGGAATTTTAGTCCGCTGACCAAAAGTATGGCTGACGCTATTCTTGCGTAAAACTATATATCATATTACGAGAAGTGTGGCCTCGAATTTCGACTTCTTCCAAAACAAGAAGGGATCGCTGATCGTGATGAAATTATTTACTTTATTCGTGGATTATGTCGAGTGCGAAATGCATGGTCTTTGTGTCTAAAAGATCCAGAGAATGATGGAATGACAAGGTCTATAAATATTGTCTGGGAAAGC